CCTGTCAGCCCCCCCTTTCCTTGGTTTGTGTGTTCATGTGAATGTGCACTATGATAGAGGGTGGTCTACAGCCGTCACTCAGTGAGACATAGTGAGCGTTTCGCCCCATTTCTCTCCTCTGTCAGCGAGCATGGTCAGTGGTGGCAAGATCACAAGCAGGGGTTTGACAGAATTCAAAATAGAGGATGCAGGGCACGATGTACACAGCTCATTTAAAAATAGGTCGGATGCATGATTTATGTAAGTTAGTTAAGCACTGGAAATAAGAACCACATCTCAAAACCTTCTTCATCATTATGTGCTATTTAGGACGGTTGGTCCCTATTGCCGCTGTTATCTTATAGTGGAAGACTCTGGATGGTGGAAACTACACATTTCCATTCAGATGGTGATGTGTGATGTAGTGTCACTATGGTTGTTGAAGGTAAACGGTGCCTGAGTAAGAATTAAGTAGGTACATTTATAAAAATAATAACTGATCAATTGTAATCAAATAGAAGATCATTAATAGCATCTTTACTTATTCTTAGATTTACACTACTAACACTACTATCACTTAATGTTAATGCATACACTTTGATTTGATCATTAATTACATTTTTAAGGATTGTTAACTTTCATGCATTATTCTGTTAATTTACAATATAACTGTACTGTAAAGTTGGATGGTTTAAAGCATCAGAAAGAAAATAAGATTATTTAGTTTGTAGGTCAGAGAGGGTCTCCAAAACCAAAATATGGAGTGAAGTGAGAAAGTGTAGAGCGCATTATTTATGCATAGGTGTAAATGAATGTAGGCAATACACAGTATATGAGTAAACATGTTAGGGAAAATCTGTAAAAGTAAAAAGAAGGAAATGAAGATGCAAAATCTGCTCACTTTCCAGCTGTGTGTGTGCGTTCTGAGCCATGCATGCATGATAAAATGTGCGAAGCAAGGGACAGGAGCTCCTGAGATACAGCCGAGACGTGAGTGATTGGAGCAATGAATGGGGGGACCTCGCAATGTAATTAGAAGTGCTACGCTCCCCAGTGGGCTTTACCATTTTAGTCTGATTATACTGTGTGATTTATATGCCCGGAAAGCCTCCATCGCTCTTGCTAAGCAAATTTGCCACATGTCGCAAAGCTTTAACTTTTCGTAATCCAGATGGTTTTTCTTCTTATAGCTTTACTGATCATGAAGGGGATTTGACTGAAGCTGAGCTCAGAAACAAACCATATTATCAGCTGAAGTTATTGAATTTTATAGTGTTTTTTGTTTGTTTAGGAGATCAGATACAGTTGCTGCCAACACTTCCCCTTTCCTTGCATCATGGTTATTTTTGCCTGTTATTTTCTTCATTTGTTATGTATGCATGTAGTCTAGATGTTTTTTTGTTAAACCATTCTCCCTTATACCCTCATATACCTTTGGGTTCACATGTTTTTATACAGTAAGCCCTAAGGTTTTGCAGACTCGTAGTTCTTATTTCTTTCTTTCTCTGTAAATAATCCCTCCTAATGTAAATAATTTCTATCTCCAAATAAAATAAATCGCAGAGAATACAGATAAAAAGGCAGATTTTCAAAAGAATATCAAGCAGAATGTGGGTGCTGAGTGAGTGTGATACACTCATGCAGACTTGCCCCTTACATATTTCATATTATATAGAACTTCCCAAAGACGAGACAGGGCTAATGGATGCAAGAAAACACATGGCACAGATTTGACATGGGTGTTCATGCATGTCTTTGAAAATCTGTCTGAACAAAAAAAAAAGTCATACTATAACTGCCAAGAAAAACTATACAATCTATGAAAACTAACAAGCGTTGACCAGGTATTTTCACTTTTCTGTCCTCTCATTTTCATTGCTATTCTTTATATGCTCAGAATGACAGGATACAAAAACACCAGGGATGCCTTACTGTGGGACACACACAAAGCAGCCAGTTCCATCTCCAACAAGACCTAACTTAAAGATGACACTGCTTCCAAAAATACTTAGAATCACTGCTTTTATTGGTGGATGTTCAGCTATACCAGTGTTGACTGTTACCTGCGTTTATATACATTTATTTCCCCAGTAGTGACAGAGAAAAAGCCCAAACATCAGGGACCGTCAGGGTCTACAATCTGAGGTGATCTGTATTGGCTGACTTGGTGGATCAGAGAACAATAACTGACTTGCTTGTTACTCCTATTGTTAAAATCATACAGATATGGATGGGAAACTGGAATAGTCATTTTAGGAGTGCTCTAATGACTTCTTCTTCGTGGCTAAACATCAAAAACTCCCAAGCTAAAAACTTAAAGTAGAAGTTAGTTAGTAGAAGCCTCTGTCTAGAGAAAAATAGCCTGCTTCTACATGTATACTAAAAATAAATCTTCTGAAGTCACAACAGAACAGCAAATTTAAGATTAACGAGAGGAATTCCTTAGCGTACTCTTTTTCTCTCATTGACTGTCTCACTGTCTATCTATTTCTCTCTTTAAGCACGCATCTCAGGAGACAACATAAAAGTGGCTTCTGGAGTTAAAGTGTTAATGCAGCAATAAGCCCTTTCTCCCCATCCTTTCTTTGTGTCTGTCTCTGTGTGTGTGTGTTTGTTTATGTGTGTGAAGACAGTCAGAAAATCTCGTCTCCACTACTGATCAGTGATGGTGACTCCTGATGTAGCATGGCCCTTACAGTATCCGATCACTGAGGGCTAAGACTGCAAAATGTGAAAGCAAATGGCAGGGCTTCCAGTAAGATGTGTAGGCTATGAGAGAGAAATAGAATTTAGTTATGATTTAAATAATATATTTTTCTCTCCAAACTAAATTTACATCACAGACACACTAAATCGCATAATATGCCATAAGCTACTAGCATAGCCTGTAAGTTCATACCTTTGGACACATTATTACATGAATGTGTATGCACACATTATTTACAGAGACTGCAACAGCTACACTGAATCCAGATGATAACTACTGTTCTGATTAGATTAGGAGCATATATACATACATACAAAAAACGCACACAAGACAAACGCATGCACAAACACATGTACAAAAGGCGCAGGTAGGCAAGGACAGGGGTTGCAAGGGAGGTGAGGAGGTTATAGCTAAGGGACACAAGTGAAATTTGCAACGCATCACATTAGAGGCAGCGGTGAAAAGGTTGGGCTGAGGGGAGTAAAGCAAGATTTATATTCCGAGGAGGACAAATCTTGGCAAGCATGGAGTACCTATGTTAAGAGACTTAGGGAGAGGCGGGGGGATCATATTGATGAGGAAGTCCAGGAAAGATGCGTGTGGGTGCAGGATTGTGGTCCTGCGGGGATGCTCTGTCTACAGCAGAGATATGGGGCTCAGACAGCGGATTAGTGTTTCTGCTCCATAATCAATTTGCTGTCTGGATCCCATTGCACATAACCCTAAACATCCAGTCCTCGCTTGATACTGCAAAATGTCTCTCCTCCTTTCTCCCTCCAACAATTGCACTTCAACTCTTTTTCACCTGCTCACCCTTTGTTTCACCTTCAGACCTTAAGATGTCCGATCTCTATTGCTCAAACTCACACATTTCAAGAAATTCTCCCCAAAATGTGTGTCGTTTTCCTCTAGCCACATTCTGCACCCACTGCATTTTAGGGCAATACGGGGGACTTTGGGAGTAATTATATCGGGGAGTGTGTGTGTGTATGTGTGTTTGTGTGTGTGAGAGAGAGTGGAGGTTAACCTTGACTAAGGGCAAACTATTAGCTCCATCTCACCCTTGGGTCCAAGCTTGCTGCCATCTGCTCCAGAGCTTAGGGGTCATAATACTGCCTGACCAATCAATAATATATTACATGTTGGCACCCTGCTCCAGCCATGGTCATGACTTTCTTTGCTTATTAAAAGCAAGGTATATTACACTCCAGAGAGGAAATACAGTACAATTTCTCAAAAGCAGGCAGTGCTGCCATATCAGTAGTACAAAGTAAAATTAAAAATTAAATTTCTGTTTGCAGAAAACAAGCATATTATCCATCAAAAGTGTATTTTGTGGCACAAAGGACTAGTTTTGCATTCAGCTTTCGTTTTAAATAAAGTCTCAGAGAAAATAAGGTTCTTGTCTCCGAGGACAGATGCTGGCATTTGCTGAAGGTGTCTGAGTCTGTGTATGTGTGTGTCTGTGTCTGTGTCTGGAGAGGGGAGGAGTACTTTGAGATGAAAGCCCAGAGAGACAGCCAGGAGGAGAGGCAGAGACAGCAGGTGGTGCTAGGAGCGCTGCTGCTCCAGGTGAAGGAGGCAGAGAGGTTTTAGTGTCAACAGATCAATAAAGTGTAGGACTGGGAGAGGACTATCTATTCCAGATTGTCTGACACAGACAGAGATAAAAGATGAAATATGTAGTCTATGGGAAAAAAGACACAAACAAACTGTAAAAGCAGCTCAAAACATATATGGCTGCATTTGCCCAGTCTAGTTTCCAATCCTACCTCAAACCTAACAGGCACATAATAAGCAGCTTTGGGTAAGAATAAATGTAAATACTATGCTGTATCAGAGGGCCAGACTTGACCCCACTAATGTCACAACCTGCATGCATATAAACACACACGTACACACAGCTCAAGCCTGACAGCCACTGTCCATGGCCCTCTTATTGGACCAGGCAGATTGTCACCTCTTCTGATTTCAGCGGGCAACACACAGATGAGAGCTACTAATTGCCTTGCTGGGGCAGCAACGTGACTCGCATGTGATTGGATAGGTTTGGAGGCACGGGAGGGTTTAGGCGCATCAGTGACTCGGTGTTGTGAGTGTGTTTGAGCGAGGCACTCAAGCTGAAGGTGGAAGTTTTCAGAGGGGGGGAAAGATTTGGACTTGTGTTTGTGTTTATTATGCAAGCTGAATACTCATCAGTCTCATGGTGGTTGATGGCACAAGGACCTGAGTGAGGAGGTTTTGAAGTGTCCTTAGTGCCCGCTAAGCTATCCTGTTATAAAAAGGTGAACATGAATTACACTGGCAGTCTTACCTTGGCCTGGCCTCAATGTCGTGCTGAAAACAGAGAGAAAAAGAGAAAGAGAGAGAATAAATCATATTTAAAATCTTTGCCCAGGTGTTAACAGGTAAACAACATCATTTACATCATCTTGTTCCACAGCTGGTGTGGCCCTAAATCTGACCAATTAATTTTCACTTTGATCCACCAGTTGTGCTCATGTATATTCATGAGCGTTTAAAAAGGAGCAGTCTGGAACAAAGCAGCGGGTGAGCCCCAAACCTTATTAACATGCCGGTTTTCCAATGTCAAAATGATGGACGTGATTTGTTGACTGTCAGCATGTGACGGTTCCACAAACATTTCAAGCAAAAGGTTTATTTATGAGCCAAATAAAAAATTTAGTCACATTTCAGATTCTGTTAATTTCCAGAAGATGTAAATGCATTATTTCACAAGGCTTACCCACAACATTTAAATTATTGCTATGAATTGATGTTGGTATAGTCAATATTTAGCAGGCCAAACACACAGCTCAGTATGTATGCACCACACGCTGTCATGTATAAGAGCCAAAGTACTTGTTATACCACTCTTGATTTTTGTTGGTTTATTTTAAGTCAAGAGGACCTTGAGCACCAGACGGCCTCTTTTGTTACCTTTAATATTCTGCTCAGCACTGTTTGTACTGTAGCACTGGACCTTGACTACCAGCCCTAAGATGGCTGTGCCAGAAACGGATTTTGACACTGTAACTAACAGCGTCTTGAAGGCAGTGGCTCTTTGGCAGCACAGCAGATGAGAGGAGAGCTGATGAGTGGAGGCTGCCGAGCACTGACTGCCTGTCTGCCTCACTGACTAAGATCTGGCTCTAAATTTAATTAGCTCTAGATCTGGACAAATACGTAGTTTCAAATATTGGAACTGGAGATTTTTCCTTGGTTTACCTTGTCAAACACTTCAATAGACTCAAAAGTCAATTTGTGAAATCAGAGTGCAAAACTGACATTCACTAAAGAAGCTTTTGACTGGTTGCTGTAAGGCTGTCTTTAAAAGAACTACACAAAACATATTTTTTTCTCCTTTGTCTGCATGTTCTAAAGACACCCAAAGTGAAGAAGACATGAAGCAATCCCAAGTCTGCTTTAAATTAAACCTGCAAATCCACCTTTGCTTTTTTTTTTTTTAAATATACCTAATTTTATGCATTAAAAACACTGAGATAAAAGGTGACAAATGTGAGGTAAAAATATCTTTTGGTAGATACATTTTAGTTTACCACCCTTAGCGGGTGAGCCAATAAGCATACTGTACATGGGATATCATTAATCAAGAGTTCAGAACTATTCCTAAGTGAGTAATTGCTACACTTTATGAAAATATTTGCATAATAAAGGGCAACACTTGCTTTACTTTGTCTTTTAATGAATATTAACGATTTCCCTGCAGAGAACAAAATCCACAATGAAGTTATCCAACTAATAAGTATTATCTTTGTTGCCCTGATAATACCTTGATATCTGCCCTGACATTACCATTAATAACATGAGGGCAGTCACTCCTGGTGATCAGATGGCATTCTCTGCTGAATGTTAAAAGCTAAAAGCAGTACATGCATTGTTGCTTTAATGCCTAAACCACATCAGTCCATGAGTCTATGTAAGTAGAGTCTATGTCTAGTTAGTAGGTAGGAGTTTATACCATAATGTGCTTGTGAATTTCCTTGGTGAGTGTGGCATAACAATGAGAAAGTGATGTTTTTTATAGTCCCAAGCTTGTGTGCTTTGTTTTTCATTTAAGTCCAATTAAAGAGTTTTTTAGTGCCTCTATCCACAAAGAAAGAAATATGGTGTTAGAAAGAAGCTGACAGCTACTACAGAGTTAAGAATCTGTTGCACAGCTCAATGGGAAACGGCTGATTATACTGAATTTAGGGTAAATTAGTATGTAATAAGCCCATCTTTATCTTTTTTTAAAATAGACTCTAATCTGATCTACAAGGTATGCATACGTTTAAAATAAAAGATACATTTAATTTGACATTTCCTTAGTTCAGTCATAACTATTCAAAATTTAGAATTCATTATAAAATTAGTGAAAAGTCTGAGGGATTCATTGGTGCATGGTAAACCTTTTAAGCCAATGGTAGTTCGCAATTAGCCAACATGGTGAATTGATAAATTATCACTTTTTATTGTTTTCAAATTCCCCAACACGCATTATATATAAAAAA